GGCCAGGCTGGATGGGGCCCCGGGCACGGTATTAAACTTTGCAGCAAGATTCTCTCTTTTGCATTAGAGCAAATCACTCATTGCAGGAGCACTGAAAGCTCATAAGAACTTAGAACTTAATTAGCCACACACCATGTAAATATCCAAGCTTACCATGCTAAAGAGGTGAGTTTATTTAGTTTCTGAAGATTCTGGAAAGCACAGGATAGAATAAAAAGAACATTTGCAGTCACTTCTTTTTAGCTAAGAAATATTATCTTGCCATAAACTATTTCATCTTCTGAAGTAGATGGTATCTAAGTAATTAATGATTAACTCATGGTGCCATATTCCACTACTCTCAAGTAAGAATCCACCTCATTTCTCTAACCCTACTACCTACCCTTGAAGAAAACTGCTGTAAACTTCCACAAAAGCACTGTACTACTATCCTTCAAGTACTCCTTCAGAATTGCTTTGCTGTTGTACCAACAAAGCTGAAAACCAAGTATATTCCACACCCTCAGAAGACACATCTCACACTGATTCATGCTGTTTGCCTGCAATAAGTATCGATTATTGAAATTCCATATGCTGCCTATTGCACTCGCACCAGATGTGTATGGAACTATCCTTACCCTGCAGTTGTGCTGTGCCTTTAACACGGGGCAAAGGGCTCCTAGTTGATAACATAAGCTGGAAGAGTATTGGCAAAGAGATCCAGGTCTCCAACCAGTAGAACTTTAAAAGCAAACAACGCTTCTACCTAAGTGCTAAGTCTTCGCAGTCACACACCTGTTATTTCACTGTCAAGGCTCCCCTCACAGCCTGGGGCAAGCAGAAGGAGACAAAAGAAGAACACCCAGAGTAGACAACATGCCAAGTACTAGATGTTTTCAGGCTAAAAATGAGAGCAATGAACTAGACCTCCATGAAGCCACACACATAGCAGAACAAAGCCATTTTGCAACTGTGATACTCCTGACAGCAAGCACTGGGTTCAGCTGCACCTCTTCATTGAGAATGAAACCACCATCATAGGTGCAGTGCTGTCTTTGCAGGAATTCTTTAAAGATGATCTATACTGATACTGCACTAGAATGACCCTCCTTTCTCCCTCCCAATCAAATAAGAACTAGTAGCACAACCCCTAAGTAAGCCTCCTAATGAGATTGATTAGAATGCATCATATTTAATTTTAAAAGGGTAAATAAAATACTAGAATAAATTGAACAAAGGCCCCGGGCACACATGAAGGCATGCTCCGTTTTCTGACTGGTGATCCACAATCCACCATTACAAATACCACCTTCTAAATAGAGGCTGCATCTGTCTGCTGAAGGAAAAAAACGTGAATATTTTCTGGAGTATTTTCATGCAAGTTGCACTGATTTTGTGTACAGAACTATGGAACCACAAGTTAAGCTTCCTAAATGATTCCTTCCTTCTGTCTCTGTAACCCAAATGATATGAAATCAGCACACCTAAAAGCCATGAGTAAATCAAATGTACCCACCAATATCCCTTAAGAACAAATCCACCTCTGCACAGAAGCCAGTACTGCAGAGATGGGTTTCAGCTGTTCTGTTGGGTGCTGAAGCTTAGACTCCTTACACGGGAAAGGCTCTTCCATAGAAACTTCTGTTCTAGACTTCCTAGCTCTATTCAGCCAGTCTCAGATGAAGCATTTATTCTACATATGGCCAAATGCAAAGGAGAAAAGTGAACCCAACCACAAGGCCATGCAATGAGAGCTTTATCCAAAGCCTCCATTTCTAGCTAAGACTGAAAAGGGCTTCTGGGAAGCATGCAAGTATTTAACATACACAGTCAGAGTAATCTGCTCTGGAAGCTGCGTATGCAGATATTGCTTGTGGAACACAGGAAAGAAATACTTTGCTCTCTCAAGAAAGAGGAAAATCAGATGTCCCTCTTTTCTCCCCCAACCAGGTTACACAAGCTCCTCATCCACTGCCTACATGAAACACTTCTGTAAACTGGTGGATTGCCCAGATAGTTCAAGTAGCATTAACTCTCTGATGCAAACCTCCTAATTAACTGAGGTTGAGTGTAGAATAAGCACAACAGGAAAAGAGATGTGTTAAGGTTTTGGAATACATTGATTTGATACCAGGAAGCCCACAGGATAGAAAGCAGAAACACGCTTTCAAAATCCGTAACATCCCTTGCCCAGAAAGTTCAGAAAACAAAGAACACTCAGGATATTAAACGAAAATAAAACGGAAAATACTCTTTAATTGACATTTTATATTATACACACAAATCATTAGGATTAATGTACTAATTGATACTTCTATCAAGAACTGTTCTGCTACAGTGGCAGAGTAACTTAAGGTTCTTCAGAGATGAAAACCTACTCATCATTATATAAATAACATTATGGTCTCATTTGAGTACTATCTGGTTTTAGACACTAACACCAGCAGAGAAAGATTCAGAAAAGGGAATTGAAAACAAAGAGAAGAGATTCAGAACCTTACGTCCCTAATTTGCTTTCAAAAAACACAGCAGTTTTGTTTTGTTTTGTTTTTTTTTTTTTGAGTTTACTCAAGACTGCCACAAGTATGCAGTAACAATTTCATACCGTTTGTAATTTTATTATAAAATTGCCTAGCAATTAATGAGAGGAATCAAAATACAGGCTTCTACCTTCAGGTAGAGTCATAACAACTGCAACCACTAACCATAAGCCTCATCAAAGCCCCGTAATCTGTGAAAGTCAAAACTCCCATCCCAATACAGCACTGCAAAACTATTGCTCTCCTTCACCTTCCAGATCCCAATGTCAAACTCACACAAGCAGTTATTTCTTCCTGAAGGCAGATCTCAAACATGCACAGAACTAGAAGCAATACAATTAAGTGCTCCCCTCCAAGTGGAAAGGTAAGCATCATTCTCAGTATCCTGGCACTCAATGCTTTATGACACAATCAAAAACAAAAGAAGCCACTGTTGTAGTTTTCTCATTTAATTCACTTCCACACCTTTCAGTACATGTGTCCTTAATTTTCAGAGGTTTTATGCCATGCAGCAGTGCTTCCCCCTTCCCCCCCCCACTGTATCCAATTGGAAAGTAAGCAGTGACACGGCAACTGTGCTGTAAAGGAGGTGGCAAAGAACATTTTAATTTCGTCTGAAAATCTGTCAGGACAGTTCTGTCATCATAAACCTAGCTTCCTTCCTTTTTCATAGTACCACATACAATGCAACGTGAAAACCTTCCAGTTGAAGAGGATTAATACTGACATTTGAATTTTTTCAATGTATAAGTGGTATCAGTTTTAATAACAGCCCTACACGTCATCCTTTATGTTGCATGACATCTAGAACAAATTTACAGAAGCCTTGTTCCTTCAACAGCTCAACACACCAGTGGAGGCAAAAGTAGGAACAAAAAAATACTTACAGGAACAAAGACAGTCACTGTAACGAGAAAGAGCAGAAGAGAAGGCACTTAGTGTGTCCACCTTTTAAAATTAATAGGAAGAGACCAGATAACTGGAACGGAAAATGGCTGCTTCAGCGACCTTTAGCGTGCGCGATGCCATCCCTGAAAATGAACCTTAAAAGTGGATATGCTCAAAAAACTCATCAAGGAAAGAGAGAAAAGGCAACTGACAGCCAGTTGAGACAGAAGCAAAGTCAATGGTAAGACTCAAAATTCTGGGCTTTTTACAGCAGTTTGACTTCAATTTGCATTTCTTTATCATTTTATTCCTTTAATTAGATTAATGCGTCTCTCTTGGCACACCGTAGGTGTTACAGCCTGGCTTCTTTGAACACATTTGAGATGTTTATTAAAAATGCTAACAGCTATGCTGTGCACAGAAGTGTACAAGAAGTGTAGTAGCACGAGCTAGATTAAATTCAGTCGGAGAAAGTATTTAATATAGCAACAAAATCCCGAGCAACTGTCAAATAGCTCTCTTCCATCAACACTCTGTTAGCAAAGGCTTTAGATGATCTTTACCAGAGAAAGACTATTCTCAGTGTTTAAAAGTGACAGCAGAACAGTCTGACCCCCCCTCCCCAATGGGAGAAAAGTCTTCCAGCATCTCAAGGGCCTGGAAGTTTAGTTTGATGATAAAAGCAACATAGTTATTTTTAGCACTCTACAGGCATAAAAATACAGCTCTAAACTGTGACCTACAGCTATGCACAGCCAAGCATCACATCATACGACAGCCTTAACTTTAGCTAGAAGCACGTCTGCAGTTGCTTCAGACAATCATTATTCGTCTCACTGCCAACAATACCTTTGGATGGCTTTAGCAACAAGCATTTGAAGTTGTCACCATCTTTTTTTGAATTGCTGCCATCGGCAGAACACAAATCAAAGGTAGGAAACCTTAATGGACTTTGTAGAAGTATTAGGAAGACCATGTTAGGTTAAATGGATTACTACTGCTCTTGGGTACAGAGGATGAAAAAGCACCTTAAAAGCAAAAAAACTTAAACTGTCATATGCACTACAGAAAGACATTTTAAGCACGGTTTGAGTGAATAAAAAAAAAAAAAAAACCTTCTTTTCTTCCACCAGTGGTAACAGCCCAGGAACAGGAAATGCTACAGTAGGAGACCTTCAAGCAAACTCACCTGAAACAACACTGTTCAGACAACTGCAAAGGTAATTCATTTTATTTTTATTCAAATTTGTGTTCTCTTGTGCACATGGTTTGTAACAAGCTGAGTTTATAAATCTATTCCAGTAGATCTGCTTCCAGAAGTTATATAAACAAGAATTTGCTTAAAATAAAAAGTGATACAGAAGTTTTAAAGAACAGGATAGGCACCGAGTTACAGCACTGAACTATTTATTTTATTTAACATGTAATCATCACCTCAAATTTTTAATTCTTTATAAACATCACTTATACTATTCATAAAGAGAAAGTTAAGTGATTTCAAGATGATAAATACGCAGTTTCAAATGCTGTAAGCTTCAGATTCATAACTGTTAATTCAGAAAACATGAGAAATGCTATAAAATGTGAGCCTTGTCAGATTTGATTCTGGTTTGGTGATTATGGTTTTTTCCTATTCTGCTGCAAAGCATTTTAGTATGAGGAACAAAGTTTCCTTTAAACACTCACCTGCTTGAAAAGAAGTCTACAGGCATATATGCTACCTGCCTAACAGAAACAAGCAAAGTTTCTTTTTCTTTCCCTCTCACAGCTTAAAGATGCCGCTTTTTGGCTGGATGAAATGGCCAAAAAATGATTCCTACAAACCCTCAAGGTATCCTGGATCAGAACTAGTTACAAAAACCTTGCTGAGGGAATTGAAATGGCACCTGAAGGAACGTGAAAGGTTAGTGCAAGAGATTGAAAACGAGCAAAAAGTCCAGAAAACTGGCATGGATTACAACTGGTTGAAGAACTACCAAAATCCTCAAGCAACAATTCCAGCTACGGAGCAGCGGCAGCTTGAAGTTCTGTGCTCCCAAATCCAACCCTGCCAGACTGGAACTGTTCTCAGCAGGTAACCATTTCCTATTCTTCTTACTTGGAGTAGTTGATTTTAAGTAAGTTTTAAGTAAGTTATTTCTTCTGCCTAATCCAAGCTTATATATGGCTGTGATCTTCTTTCCAATTTAGGAATGAGCAGCAATCTGAATATATCTTTGTCTGTGTTAGAGATTATACCTTTGTTTTATTATATCGTACATTAAGGTTGTTTCTGTGTTGTTTTTTTTTTTTAACATAAGGATTCTCCCAGTCTAATCTTAAACAAAGAAGTTTTGCATGCTTACGATATCTGACTTCTCAATACTTTAAATTCTCCACTATTCATCCCCAGTATTTATTAAATTGGGGCCAAGAATCAAAAAATCAAATTAATGCAATGTATCGTTAAGCCTCGCTGTACAGAATACTTGAAGCTTGTAATACTAGAAAAATCAGTGTTAAACAGAATTCCATTCTGGGGCAAGAGAAAAAAAAAAAAAAAAAAGGATTAACATGAAAAATTCTCCTATGCTCATATTTAAATACACTTTCTAGGGGAACACAGAAATGACAGAAGAATCCTATGTGCCTTTTAAAGCCCAGAACATACCTAAGGGCAAAGTCAGTTTAAATCAAGTTACCCAGATGGCGAAGGAAAACAAAAGAATACTGAATAACAACAATCCTCAAAATGGCTGGATTGCCTCCAATGTATTGTTAGAGCTCTTTTCCTCTACAATCTTCTGAGGGAGGTGTGTGGGGAAACGTGGCAGCAAGGAATAACTGACATAAGAGCACGGGCATTTCCTCCTCCTTTCCCTCTCCTCATTAGATTAGCAAGGAAACAGGAGCACTGTCAGCACCAGTAATTAGATTTCAATGCTTGTTTGTTTCTAGATTTCGTGAAGTTTTGGCAGAAAATGATGTTTTGCCTTGGGAAATAGTCTACATATTCAAGCAAGTTTTAAAAGATTTTCTTACTACCATTGAGAGAGAAAACCAACAAGAGCAGCTGGTAAACGTGTGGAATACAAATTGCTCTGAACATTTCAGCCTGCGTGGAGACAGTTCTAACAGATCAGAGAAAGAGGAAATCCCTACAGTTTCAAGTTATGTCGACAGAAACACGCAAAGCATGTTTCCCACTTTCTCTGATAGGATCTGGAATCTACCATATTACTACCCATCAAGTTAAGCCGCTTTGTGTTGCTTTCAAAAAGCTCTGTAGCTGTCTGCCTGCCTTCACTGTGATTGCCATCCAGAAACATAGCAATAAGAAATGTGACATGCTCCCTTTTTTACCTTATGAGTTCAGAAACTAAAATCCTTGATTACAGCTAGTATGCATTATATAAACTTGTAGTATGAACTCTCTCCTCTTACCTTCAACATTCCTTGAAGCTACTGTGTTTGAAGGAACCTTTTAACCAAAAACGTAGATGCTGCTAATAAAACAAGCATTTTATCTTTGGTATATCTGTAGATATAGAGTCATGAACAAGAAAAGACTGCTTTCTGTATTTTGGAATAGCACCACTCCACAAACTGTTAGACAACAATTTCTGTATTTACCACATATCTGCTAAGCTTTATAGGGAATTTATACAATGTAAGATTTCTTAAGTATATCTGATGTTACATTAAATGGATAAGTACCTTCTGGAGCTGAATATTTATTTCTCAATTTTAAGAGTAAGTCCTAAAGGAAAAGCAACATAAAATAACATTTCACTGCATGAACAGTTCCTTCATTTGTCTGAACTCTGCACTGCACATGATGAAATACTGTGAAATCTGACAACTGCAAGTAAGCTTTGGATATTTAAGTACTTTTAACAATTAGCTCTCTAACCCCTAAGAAATTCTTACATAATTTCATTTCAAAAGGTTGCACTTCTTCCATTATTTGAAGCTACCCTGAAAACCAGACCAAATTTCAGCAATTTGTTAAGTCACAGTACTTTCTAGAGTAGCAAGACTGTCAACAAATCACTTCAAAAGGAAGAAGTGAGCATTTTAAATTTTCAGAAACTTGCCATTTTTCTGTTGCTATCATCCATGATAGAGCTCTTAAAGTTTTAAAGCACTGATTGGACACACAGCAGTTACAATCAGAGTAGACAAAGCAGAAAAATCAGAGAAAACATACACCACAGCCACGTGCTGCATTTCCCATTGGGCTCCCATCACCATAGGAAACCAACTTTTACACGCCTTTTATTTAAACTCTCCATCTCCAGATTTCCTCTCCGTCAGTCTGCCACATCATAAAAATGGCCAAGTCTCCCATTTCTCAATTCACTAGAACAACTATTTTGCAATCTCAAAAAAAATGCTTCATATGATATTGTTTTCAAGCATACTGAAGACGATGTTCATTCAGAGTTCCTCAATCTGGTAACACCAACTCAAAGATATTTCCCTTCTGCTCCACTTGCATCTTTCATCCAACACAGAATTTACTTATAACGTCATGTCAGTTGGGCCAAACAAATTGCATGTATTTTTTATAAAAGATATAAAGCTACAACAGGTATAAACCAGTATTTTTTTAAGAAACTTCAGCTAAAGAAGCCTCTTTATCAGGCTTTGTGCGATAGGATAAGAGGAAAAGGTTTCAAACTAAATGGGGGCAGATAAGGAAGAAGTTTTTTCCACAATAAGTGCGGAGAGGCACTGGCACAGGTTGCCCAGGAAGGTGGGGGACATCCCTGGAGACAGCCAAAGTCAGGCTGGACGGGGTTCTGAGCACCTGGTGGAGCTCTGGGTGTCCTTGTTCACTGCAGGGGGATGGTCTGGATGGCCTTTTGAGTTGGAAGGGACCCTGAATGATTCCATAGTTCAAATGAAGTCTTGCAACTTCAGAAATAAGGACCATCAACTGAAACATATGCTAAAAGGCAGTCTGTGAGTAATAAAATATCTAGTCATCACAACTAATTCAGTAATTCCACATACAGTGAAAAGGAAAAGCACGAAAAGGCTTACATACTTCTATATACACTTTACTGATACTAGGCTATGAAACCAGTTCTAACATCAACATTTAGAATGGAAACTGAAAGGGGAAAACTAAAATGGGAAGTAGAGAGGGCATAGGTAGAAAAAATATTATACAAAGGCTGAGAAAATGCCGTCCTTTGAGACCTTACTTCATTTCTCTTTTCTTCAAGTACAAACGTGGGAGGTAATCTTACAGAATATTTTCAAAGTGCAGTGTATTCTTTACTTTAAAAAAAAAAAAAAAGAGAGAGAAACATAGAAAAAGTGAAGACAGGGTAAGAACTGGTATTTGTGGTACCGCATGCAGCTGGCAGGCATCATTCCTCTGGCAGCAGGGTGAGTGACAGCAACTTCAAAGGGCAGCAAGCCTCCCACCTGCACAGGTGTCAGGCAGAACAGCTTGCTATGTTTTTAGCCAAATAAAGTAGCTATAAAAAAAAACCACTAACTCAGCAAATGCTACACCTACAACACAAGAAATCAAAGAGAGAATAATGATCTTTTTCCATGCTTAAGCTTTTTAAGTGTTTTAATCTGAACCACAATTGTTTTGGTAACAAGAAAGGTTTAAGGGTCATTTCATTTCGTTCAGTTAAATGCAATTAAGGATTGAGGAATTAAGAAGTTAATTAACAAGCTATTTAAGGATAAAAACTCTAACCACGATCTCTGAGAAATATTATTTCTTCTTAAGAAGCTCAACAGCTAATATTGTTATTCTAGAAGCAGTCCAGACAATACGATAAACTTACCCTCAGAAGATGAAGCATTATTGGTAACCAAAAAGAACATCTTACATATCTTCTTAAGGCACAAAGCCTTTGCACTCAATTAGCAGAAGTATTTCATAAAGCTTTCGTGAAGTATTATTTCTTACTACATAGCGCTGTAATTATTATAACACACCTCTTATTTCCATGATTGATTGGGTATCAATCCTACATGTTCTTGCATGTCAATTTAGATAAGAACTTGGAAATAATTTTACCATCAGTTATATAAGAGGCTTGAAACTATACATATGACAAGCATCTTTAACGTCAATCATTTTGCCTTTAATTTTACAAAGTCTTGAAGGAAATATTGAAATAGTTATTACAGTACAAGCAACCTCAGCAAGGTAAGAAAAAGTCTTTTGCCCTCAGCCCTCCAAAACCTTTAAGAAGCCAACAAATACAAACCTAAGTGCTTCCTATTTGAGCGTACAACTCATCAGGATTCCTCAAACGAGGCCCGAACTCCCCAAGCACAATCCCAGAAGCATAAAATAGAAACAGATGCAGAAACAAAACCCACCTACCGAGAGGCCTTCCTATGGAGGTTGTGCTTGCTTTGCAGCAGCACACATATACCATAAACACGTATAAAAACGCAGATATAGAGAAGCACTCCACACACCGCCCCACACCCCGCTACCAGGCTGAGAGCTGAGGGGCGGCAACCGCACTCACCGCAATGGCTCCTGCGCAGCGAACGGGCTGGGGAGACAAGGTGAACCACGCGAGGCTGCAGCCTGCGCGCGCCCACCTAAGAACTCAACGGCGGTCACGTCTTTGCCAATGGTGAACCACTCGTTCACCTGCTCGACGGTGAGACTCCGCAGCATGACGGCGACACCAGGCTCACACCTCGCACCGCACAACACGCGCGGGCACTCGCGTCCCCTCACCGCGTTCTCTTCCCGCGCTCGGGGAAGCCCCGCCCACGGCACGTGACCCGTTGAGGCGAGGGCGCCGCCATGTTTGTGGCGCAGTGAGTTCGGGGTTGGGGCTCGCGGGGTTTGTAAGTGCGCTCCGGGGTGCGGCCAGTTTGTGTTACAGCCGTAGAACTAATGGCCGAATAGGCGTTCTGGGATCCGGATCAATCCGTCGTTCTTCTCAGCTGAGGAAACAGCACGTAGGTGCCTCAAGCCACGTGAAGCCATCCTGGCAGCTGCCTCTTGACGACAGTCTGCCCCTGGGCGTCAGGAGCCGTGACGCCCCTTCCCAGTATTGTCCCGCCGTGTGCTCCTAGCTTGGGCAGTGCAGGGTGCGAACAGGCTGGGACGCGGCGCGCTGTGGGCCTAAGCATAGATTTTTTTCAGTGCAGTCAGTCCTGTCAGGGTTGCAGCACGGCCCTCGAAAGGCTGAGGCGGACCGAGAGCGGGCCGCGCTGCTGCTCTGGTCTTCCACAGCTGCAGGGGGCGCTGTGCGCCGCCGCCGCTTTTCTGGCTCGCGATCTTCGCTCGTTGGTGCATTCCCGGCATCCCTCGCGGCGGTAGCGGAGGCCATCCCCGTTCCGTGACCTTCGGTGGCAGCCGCGCTCTCTCGGCCTAATGGTGGGTTGCGGATCAGGCCTGGGCCGGTAATGCTATCGCTCGGGTTGTCTCGGGGAAGAGGCTGGGGAGCAGCCCTTGTGGGTTGGCGGCCGTTGCTCCCTGTGTAGAAGGGACCGCGGGAGGGCGGCGGGTACCCGCTGCGAGGGGTGAGCGGGCCGCGGTGCTGGGGGGAGGGCGAGGAATGTGGGTTAGAAGGCACGTTTAGCTTGCATTAACTCACTGGGAAGGGGGGGGGGCTCGGTGTTCTCGACAGCACTGGTGAAAGCACAGCACTGTCAGGAAATACGTCCATAATTGATGCCATTGAGCGTAAACTGGTGAAGAGAAATACGGGTTTGTATTAAGACGTTAAATTCCATAGAGATGCTTTTATATTTGGAGAAGTACTAAGATTTCTATTCTGGGGCTCTGAGTTAATATATATTGTCCGTATCAGTATGCAGGTGAGTTTGATGGCTTGTATTATTTGGTTGATGTGCTCGAAGTGTTTAAGGTTAGAAAACAATAGAACATGCAGTATTGCTATGTAGTGTGGTGCAGATGTGTGCTAAGATGTTGAATGGCAGTAAATTTTATTTTGATGTATATCTTACATATTTTCTGGTTTTGGTTTAAATAAACTCACATGGTGGGGGGGTTAAAACTAGGTGGTCTTTGAGGTCCTTTTCAACCCAGGACATTCTATGATTCTATGAACAAACCTGGGTACAGAGGAGGAAAACATATCAATAGGTCTCCTGCTGCTGGAGCACATTTAAAAAGTAACATTTTCATGATAAATCATGAGTTGAGTAGCTTATTACATGTTTTGCTATTTTGAGTAGAAATTATGATGTTGAGAGGCATATGTTATATGTCAGGGAGGGAGAGAAATGAAATTGGTGTAATTGAGCCTCTCTAGCTTGCCTGGAACGAGATTCTACTCCTTAGAGACTCAGGAAACAAGTCACTGGTAGAGAGGAGCTCAGCTATTGCTACTCTGCAAATCCTCTGTTAATTCATCTTTGAATCCTTTTATCAGCAGGCATGTGTCTGTTTGTGTTAGTCCATAAGGTGTAACCTTAATTCTGAATTTGCAGTGCTTTGCTTTGGAATAAATACTTCTTCATGTTTGCTTTTTGTTTTTTTTAATTGAATCCATAGACTGCTGCTGCTGAGGTATGGGTGTGTGTGTATGTATACATGCATCTGTGTGTGTGTATGTGGAAATGTGTGTGTTTAACATGCATATAAAAATTACGTATACAGCATACAGTGCATATATGCACGTAGTAGGTAAATATGTAATTGCACAACTCACCATTGGAGAACTTCTTGTAACTTTCAGATGGTGCAAAATATGATTCCAAAGTCATGGAGAGCCATGAAATTCTACTTCACTACTGTTTACCAAGAAATATGGGTTGGTCTAGCATTAACAGCTTATGCCTATTACAGAATTTCATACGGTGGTAAGTTAAACATTATAATCTCTGTTACCTGTTAAAACCCTGGTATATAGATAAGAATGTCTTTCACAGTTTAAAATCTGCCCCTGGAAAATATCTAGCAAATAAGAAATTAACACTTCTCCTTAAAGCCAATTTTTCACTGTAAAAATGTAGAAGTTTGATATCTTCAGTGTAGAAGGCTGCACTAATAAAATGACCCACACTGGTGTAACTGTGTCTGCTTTGTGAAGATTAAATAATGTAGATACTCGCTTTAAAAACACTTCTAACTTGCAATGCGTAGCCAGAGGTTTCTCCTTTAGCTTTTTTCTGAATGAATGCAAGGTTGTTTAGAACTAGATACCCCATTCCTGGAGGCATTCAAGGCCAGGCTGGATGTGGCTCTGGGCAGCCTGGTCTGGTGGTTGGTGGCCATGCACATAGCAGGGGGTTGAAACTAGATGATCATTGTGGTCCTTTTCAACCCAGGACGTTCTATGATTCTGTGATTCTATGATTAAGTTTTTTTTGCGAGTCCTTTTTTCGTTCTTCTGTTTTCATAGAGTTTTTGCTTAATATCTGCAAAAATTACAATTTTGAGAAGCTGTTCCGGTATGAACTATATTAAAGTACTGTAAGTTGGGGCTGATGTGCCTCAAAATGTGAGCTGAACAGCTGGAGAGAAAACAATAGTTTTATTTCTGAATTCTGCTTGAAATGAAAGAAGTTAAAGCAAAAGTGTTTCAAGTTTGGGTTCACAGAATCACCAAGGTTGGAAAAGACCTTCAAGATCATCCAGTCCAACCATCCAACTATCATTAAACCACGTCCCTCAGTACAAAATCCAAACGCTCCTTGAACACCTCCAGGGTCGATGACTCCACCACCTCCCTGGGCAGCCCATTCCAGTGCCTGACCACTCTTTCATGAAGTAGTATTTCCTAACGTCCAGCCTAAATCTCCCCTGGTGCATCTTGAAGCCATTCCCTCTAGTTCTATCACTAGTTACACGAGAGAAGAGGCTGACCCCCAGCTCACTACAACCTCCCTTCAGGTAGTTATAGAGAGCAATAAGGTCTCCCGTGAGCCTGCTCTTCTCAGTTCGTGTTCAGGTCATGCTGCTTTAGAGATGCAGTGGTGTGGGCTGTGAGGGACAAAACTTTCATATGGGAGAACTGTGCACAAGCATTATTTTAAAGTGAAAACAGCTTTTAATACCTGTATACCTTCTTGCAATTTGAGGTACAGTTTTGTATTTAATACATTTGTTTATATAATTGTCAAATATCTGCAAGGGTCAATAGATCAGGTTGGTCATAGCCTTATTCAGAATTCAAATGAGTATTATTCTTTTCCATATATTTTTGTCTGTTCACTGTAAATCACTCTTACAGGAAAGCAATTAAAATTGGAACACAAAATAAGCTGTTTAATTATAAAAGAAGATTTTAAGATAAACTAGTCAGTTCACATCTTCATTTTGTAGTACTGCTTACACAATGTCCATATATGGAAAGCTACCTTTCTCTTGTATGTTTCTCTTGACCTACAGTAGGAATCCTTGTGGCTACAAATTCTAAATGCATGGAGTCTTGGTTGATGGAAACAGTTAAAAATCAATATAATGTTTATAGAAATGTATCATGAAAAGTACATCATGTACATTTGTTTAATTTTGTTCGTGCTCAGTCAGCAAATAGTGAGTAGTATAACCTGATTGAAGTTTATCTGAAAAATAGAAACAGGAAATTAAAAAAAAAAAAACAACCTCATTGCTCAGCTTGTTTTTCTTTTTCTCTAGGCAAAAAAGCAGTGGCGGATAGTAAGTATTAACAAATACTTGTATTATTTTAAATTAATGCTGTAAATACAAAATATTTTACATAAGTTTGGGTTTTATTTAATCAATTTAGTAGGTGTTTAAAGACTGCCTCAAAACATGTAGTTTTAGATGTTTTGATGGCTTTGTAACCTAAGAGCATTTGTGAATCTGCCCAGATGCTGCTGCCTCCATTTTCAGTTTTACTTTGCGTAGCTTTTAGGAGCAAAGTGGAAGTTGTGTGTCTTGATAGGGTGCTAAGAGTAAGGAATATTATTTTAAATTGTGATAATGATGGCCATTTCATAGGAATTCTAAGTGGTCTAAATTTCCAGAGTACCTATTAAAATTTTAACTTCCATAAAAACTGCAATTTTGAACTTGTATTTTCAATTTGTGTTTTTTATATCTTCTATAAAATAGCATTTAAATTTTTAAGGTCAGTTTCTTCTGATTTGACAATTTAATTTTTCATGAGCTGCTGTGATTTTCTGTACTGTGAATGTTTGTTTGCTCCCACTTGGATATATGCAACTATTAGTCACATTTTTACATGTATAATTAGTGACAATAATTCCAGTCTAGTAGACTTAAGGATAATAGCATAAATGAACTTGAATTTAGAAATAGCTAATAGCAGCAACCATCCAAATTGGAGGAAGAGTGGATGTTTGCTGTAACTGCACTTCAAAATATGTGAAAAAGATTCTTGTTCTTAGCATAGTTTATGTGTTTAGTTTGGGGAGTTTGTTTTATTTGTTAGAGCAGCTGAACTTGCCAATTCTTAGACTCAGATCTAGATAGACTTGTGTATTTTGGGTTCTGAGCTGTGTTCTTGAATTGATTTGCTATACAGTTCGAACAGTCTAAATCATGTCTTTGTTTCAGAGTCTTCTGGCCATCATTAAAGATCTCTTCTCTTGGAGAATGAATGTGGTGTTTGCTCATCTTTGCTGTAAATGAAGCAAGATACAACCATAGGGAAGTTAATTCTAAAACTGTACCTGATCCCTCTGCTGTACTTATAAATATGTTGAGTAAGAAGGAATTAAACATGTTGGATAAAGTGTGCTGGAGTCTATTGTAATATGTAGAACAACGCCGTCTTGTTTTCTACAGTTCTTCTATGTAAAAGCTTTTTCAGCAGTACTTTGAACATAATCACATCTCTGTGATGAATCTTTTTATTAGAATTAGCTGATATTTCTGACAAAAGCATCATGCCATTTTTAAGAGCATCTTTTTCAAGTGTAACCTTTAAGTACTCCATTTCCTTTAGAAACATCATTTAAGACTACATCACAAGTGAGGACGTTACTGCCAGCTTTTTGTCAACTTTCAGTGCAGTATTTTGGGGACTCTAAAAACCACATGAAAATCACTTTTCAGACTACATACTGAATGTCCATAGCAAGGGCACATAGTGCATAAAACCAAAATTTTGCTTTATGTCATGTTTTGTTTAGATTTAGCCTAATCTGCTTTTGAGAAGATTAAGAGGCTTAGGTCATTTTAATGAGTAAGTGCTTACGTACATCTTTTTAACTACATCACCAAAACGTCTTAAATCTTTCAGCTTAAGGTTTTGTGCTTCAATTTCACTGATAGTAATACCTGACAGTAGCTTAAATACTTTGCATTTGAATGGTCATGATAACCTTACTGATGATGACACGGTAAACTTTCCAAATACTGTGTTGCCTTTAATTCCTTCAGAAGTCATATTTCTGCTTTAGTTTGGTGTATTGTATTCCTCTGAAAACTCTGTTTAGTACTAATACTAACATGGGCTATGTCATTTTCACGTTGGGCCTGTTTGCTTTTGTTTATTTTAAAGCAGGTATAGCTCACTGATTTGAAAAGCTGATAGTTACTTTTTCATTCATTCTTACCCTTTGTTCTACCTTCCGTAGTTTTCTTTGTTTTATATCTTCCCTTGATGTACTTTTAAAACTGATTCTTGTCAGATCCTTTTTTTTTTTTTTTTTCTGGGAGTTTTCACTGCTTCCACCCATGTTTTGTTTTCTAACTCCAGAAAAATGGAGGAGTAGAAATCTTAGTATTTGTGTCTTTACATACAAAAGCCTTCAGAAGTGGGAAACAGAAAACAAAAAGTAGGGAAAAAAAAGAGAGCTTCAAACAAACAGATATTAGCCAGTGGTGATTACAGGGTGGGTCAGAATTGTGGTATAGTAAATAACTGGTTCAGATTGAAAATTTATGCCAGGTAAGGAGCTGTATGTGCATTTGTGATGCAAATTTATGATCACTGACTTAGTTCCTAAGATATTACACATACTTCAAATAACCTGCTTTAGCAATTTTCAATTAGGGAGCTGAGGCAAAGAAGGTGGGGAAAAAACATGAATCATTTCAAGATTTAACTTAGCTCTAGAACCTAGCATACTTGGAATGAGCTACATTGGTGTGATGTTTGATCTCTTAAACATTAATGGAAAAGCAAGAAGAGCTTTTGCAAAACTGCCCCTGGAGTGCAGTTAATTGCACTTGTAAGTAAATTTTACCCACTTCAACTCTGAAACTTGATGTGTAACTTGATTCCCTAATAGGGAAAGGAGCTACGCGTGGGACTCACTGTCTGGATTGTGGAAACTACGCATTGTGTTGAAATAATGCTGTCTGCAGTTGGTTCTTCCATCGTTACGTTTCTGTTGTAAGTTTCTCTGACTGTTTCAGAACATTTCTGCTCTGGAAAAGGCATGGAAGTAAAATTGTTGCATTCCTCAATAGATTTTATTTATGTGAGCAGGATACAATAGGAAATTGACTATCAGATACTTGACTCAAAAACAGAAACCAACACACCCATAACACAATGTCCTACTATTGATGTGCTGTCAGCACCTCAGTACTGTAGCACAGTGTGTTGTTTATGTACTGTGAGGTGTGAAAGGAGCAATCAATTTTTATTGGAGCACTGGCATCTGAAATGCTGCCCTATGTAGAGAAGCACTGTAAAGGACTACTACTGCAGTGAGTGTTCTTATTTTAGGATGTGTAGGTAATTTAAAGCTAATCCAAAATAGGAAGGTTCCAGGCAAAGGTCTAGCCAGACAAGTCCCAGCTGTTGAACTTGCTTATTTTTCTATGCAAATGACTATTTCTGCTCCTTGACAGATTGTGCTGTATCTATTTGACTGTTGCATCTTTATATTGCTAACATTTCTAAAAGGAAAGAATTATGTTTACACTTTTTGAAGTAGTTCAGCAATTGCACATTTCATTTGCCTATGATGAGGTGTTGGCAATGACAAAAATTATTTACTACCTTTGCAGTGTTAGTGGAACCAACTCTTACAGAGGTTGATAAACCACATTCAGTTGCTGCAGCATCACCTTCATAAAGTTTTACTGTTCGTTTGTTTTTTGTTTTGTTTTTAATTAAATGTAGGATATCAGAACTCAGGACTAGGCAGCTAAATTAGTAATGACAATGGTAATGCAAGATATGGTCTTTCATACCATGAAAATACTGTATTCATGCCTCCAAGCCAGATCTTACAAGCCACATTTTCTCGTTGTGGAGCTCTGAGATCGTTAGAACATTCCAAAGCCCTGACTTACAGGTGAGAATCCCAGAGTATTCCCTACATGCTAATAAAGAATTGTGGAATACTCTAGAAGAGTAGCAAAATACAGTCATAGCCAATGAAACATTAGTCATGGTGCCCAGCCTACTTAACCTCTTTAATGGTTAACTTGGAAAAAGCCCCAGATGTGTATTCATGTTAATGGGGAGGATGAGTAAAGTTGCAGGAAATGATCTAAACCAAGTAAAACAGCTGAAATAGTCTCCTATGTATCTGAATCATGATAGCAAATCTCTGAAGTATAAATACACCCTGATACTGAGCTGGTATGTGCTCATTGTACTTTCAGTCCCCAAGGAAGAACTATCGGGTTTAGACACAGGTGATTGTATGTGACATCACCACCAGATGGCTGCAGTGAAACTAAATGAGGAAATCAGTATTTGAAATCTATTGTTTCATTCACGGAAATCTGTGAAGTTACTAGGAAGGAAAGAATAGTGAGATAGGAGATTCTCTTTGGCATTCTCTTGTGGTTAACAATTTGGTAAATGGGAACAACAAGAAGAAATTTAAAAGATAGATCTTCAACAGCAAGCTCTTTGTACTACTAATTCCATGACCTTTAGCAACTAACATTTAGCAGCTAATACTCTCTTTATAATGACACGTGAGTCAGATTTGGTAATTTATAAAGAACTCATAAACAAGAAATTCCTGTATTGTACTCCACTGCTTCAGGCAAACTACTTGGAAACAGTAATTCTCCTCTATCTCAAAATGAACTGACCACCACAAGAATGGAATCTTTAGAAACTTTAATTAAATTTTGCTAGGTAGCGTAATGTCTTTGGCTGTGGTTTAACAGTATAAGTGCTGAGGCAGCTTGTGGAGTTTCCATCCTTATACCACAGTGGCATGTTTCTCTTTATTGTGCTGATACAACAATTTGTGAGTCAGATCAGACAAACTTTAATGATTTTATAGGCGTTTTTCTCTAAAATAAAGCAAACTTAGGGTTTTTTTTCTGTTTTAATTTGGATTCATCTCCAGCTGTTTACAGCATGGCTACTTTATAACTTGTATTATAGCACAGCAGGCTCTTTTTTTCAGAATTTATAGCTGTGCATTCACTCTGCCAGCTCTCTTAAGTCATACAGTACAAGAATTTAATGCCGTTTCCTCCTCACATCCAGCAATGCACATGATCGAAGTACTGCCTCCTGTAACAACTGTCATCACTGTCAACACTCACAGCAATAAGAGGAGTAGCAATAAAAAGAATGCAGAACTCCGCCCTGTGTACACTTCAGGAATGTCAGCTTGTACTTCAACAAAGGGGCAGAACTTTGCATCCTTCTTTTGGAGCACGTTGCTTCCTCAGATGTCTACTATGAGTTGGAACAAAAGAAGAAACAGTTGTACAACATCTTGATGCTCAGTACATGCAGGAGAAATGCTTTCCATATTAAAGGTTAAGATTGGCAGTATTTCTTCAAATCAGGAATTATAGCCATGAAATGAAAAAAAAAAATTGAATTACGGCTTTCAGCAACTTTTTTTTTTTTAAATTGACTTGACCTTTAACAACTTAATATGCATCCATATATCACCACTGTTACTTCAGCTTCAGATGAGAGATTTCTACAGAGCTGTGTTTGGTAGAAAATGATAATGAGAGATTCTGTGGGTGGTAGAACTAACAGCAGTATACTGAATGAATCCCATCTGTGATGACTACTTCTGCCTACACAGATTTCTCCTGCAGTATCAGTTGTAGTCCTCATTTCTTGTTTTAACCTGTTGTGTTTAGCATACTTTTGAAAATATTAAAGAATTGCTGCAATTAAGGGGGAATTATTTAGGTATGCAGTAGAACTGTTGTGAGATATTTCATATGGAATGCTTTATAAACAAGCAAAATTGCAACAACTAAACCGTCACTACAACCAGAATATTACTGGGGGGAGGGGATGAAAAAATTAATTTTATTAATAATTAAATAATTAAAATGATTAGAATGTTAGCAAACATCTGATATAGTAACAAGTATACACTTTCTTTTTTTCTTAACCAAAAGCATTTCCCTTTTTTTAATTAACACCATGCTTACCTTCAGTATATATATTCCAGTGTTAGCTTTGAATTTAATGTACTTGTATACAAAAATAGCTTTCTTTGAATTCTTCTGTATCTGAAATTATAGTTCTTACCTTATAATCCTTTGTAAGTCATTATATTCCATACAGTGTATCACATATAGCTTGAAAAAAGCAATCATAGAATGGCTTAGATTGGAAGGGATTTTAAAGATCATCAAGTTCCACCCCCCTGCTGTGGGCAAGAACAGCACACACCAATACTTCTTGTCCAAATTAGAACCTCAAGACTTCTTAGCTACATGTTGCTTTTCGTTCAATAAAATGAGTGTTAGAGGCTTACTAATTTCAGTCATGGATCTGAGTCTGTTTCAGAAAACAGTGAAACAAATACCTTTTAGCATACTTAGATTCAATTAAT